GAGAGAGAGGAGGGGGGAAAAAACCCATCAATATCAGCAAAGGATAGGGAGGAGGAGGTCCCTGGCTGGGCAGGTAATCGCCTCGCAGCGAAATGGGAAAGGTGTTGGTTTAGTATTTATCTGTTTCTCACTACTCAAATCTATTTTAACTGGCAATAAACTATTTGTTGTCTTGTCCACAACAGCAATCAGTAATCTCCCTGACTTAATCCCAACCTTTAAACTCTCTAAACTTATTCCCCCTGGTGCTGCTGAGGAGGGGGACTGAGTGAGTAGCTGTGTGGGTGCTTGGTTGTTGGCCAAAGCTAACTCACCACACAGTTCTTCACAAAATCTAAAAAAATTAAAGCTATTCTGACTTTGCCATTAAGTGCTGGTGCTATTTAACTGACACCACACCCAAGAATCGTACATTATCAACTAGACTGCACATCAAAGGCTGCCAATCTTCACTCTTTGTTAGAGGGTTAATCTGTCACGGTGCCGGAGACATTTGCTCACTACAGGCAGGACGAGGCCCCATCATTTCACCACAGCAGCATAATTTTTGCCTACTGTCGTGCACTGTGCTATCGTGCCTCTGACAGCTCCAGGCCTGCTGCACGGAGTCATTCACGTGCGTGGCAAGGAAACAGGACAGCAGGGTGTCGAAGCCAGCAAAATAAAGACATAATCCAAACCAGTTACAGAAGGAGTAACACAGCACTGCAGACGAGACTCACAACAGCACGTGGCACGACGTCGCAATCAAAGAAGACCCCCTCGTTATCCATCATACAGAACCAGGCACTTGTAGCCATCAAGCAGCAGAGCTCATCCAAGCACATACAGCTCAGCAGGAGCAGGCTCCGGGGGGAAACACCACATCAGGGAGCGGAGCTGGGGCCGCACAAATGCAGGTGAACGATCCAGTAAACAGCACCTGAATGCAGAGGATGTTTCTCACCGTTAAACTGCTTTGCAGCTTGCAAACTACACAACCTGCTCAAAGAGACCAGAAAGGATTTTGAACACTTGAGCACGGGCTTGTGACCAGTGACACGCTACAGCTAAATTGCTTAAGATGAAGACAGAAGACAGGCAGGAGTACACGCTAAAAATCTTTCCCAGCCAAAGTATCTGCTTGGTTTTATACAAATTTTTAGAAGAACATACACAGAACATCTTCTGCTGAACTAACTCAGCTACAGATAAGCTTGGGGTTTTGGCAGGTAAACTGCAGTAGAGACCAACATTAAATACAGTATCTTCTTACATGACTGTTTCAAAGGACTGTTTAAAATCTAAGCTAATTTTGAAACGTAGCAATTCTGTCGATCTTTTACATTTTTTTGGCTACATTTTTAAAGATTTTTTTTTTCCCCCGCTAATAACCTGGAGTTACTTCAAGTAAAAAATAGCTTTATATTTTCACACCTTTGTAGCTGATACACCTAGCAACTAACACAATTAAATTTTCAGATATTCCAAGCATAGCATGAGTTCTGCTGTAATTCATTCTTTAAAGGAAAAAGAAAGGCCCCAAAATAGCATCAAAATTTCAGTAAGGGACAACAAAGCACTTGAGAGTGCAGAAGCTAACTGTGAGAACTTTTGCTGCAAATCCTTCCCTTTTCATGTTTCATTTTCAAAGTTCAGCAGCACAGACCTACAAGAGGACACCAGAAATAATTCTGGTGCATTTCTTTCCAGGTTATTGATCATTTCAGAAGTATCAACTTTTCCAAAAGTTCACTTGAAAACATCAGATTCAGGCTTGTTTCGTAACACTTTTAGACTTATTGGTGCAAAAACAGCTTTATAAGCAAGACAGAAAAGGAAAAATATATTTATTGCTATCTATCTCAGTATTCCCCGCTGCCACCCCCAGTACAATCAATGTTCTCTTTTTAGGGTTTCCTCCTCTTGGACAAAACTGATAAAATATGAATAAGAACCACCAAATCACCAAGAAACTAAGCAGAAAATAAGGTACCCACAACTGTGTTTTAAAACGTATGGTTTAAGTGAACCAGATTTTCAGCTGGGGATTGTTACTTTACTGTGAAAATACTCAGCACATTTTTAGGCTCCCCAGCGGAGCAGCTGGTGTGAGCACACCATACAGCAGAAGACCGTAACCTTACAAATCAAACATGAGAGCTCCAGAGCTCCTACTCACCACGCTGGCTTTCGTCAACAAATTGCTACCAAATCCCTTTCCCAAAAGCCAGCTGAGGTTTGCTAGCCTGAAAACTAAGTGACCGAAGTAATCACCAAGCCCCATCAGCTTGCTCCCTCACCATTTAACATCTCTTACTAATTCTCTGTGAGCTTGCAGGAAATAGTTTCAAACAGCTCCCTCAAGAAACTAAGTTCCAAGCCTTAGTTTTTCCATTCCAAGCCATCTCTGCACTATTTCATAGCTCTGATAATTGTACCACTGACTAACCTCCAACTGGGAATAGCTGTTTTTATCATCACTATTAAAAACAGTCCCTCACACTGTTAGGAATCTGGAAATTCATTGTAGCCGCATCCCACCCTTCAGCCTCTCAAAACACTACAGAGCAATGAAACTATGTGCTGAAACCAGAGGACCCCTGTGCTGAACAACTGTAATTTCTGGGTTATTACAACTGCTTCCTAAGCAAAGGCAGCCATGGATGTTTGGTTATTGATTTTACTGTGGCAAGTGGCATAAGATCTTAGAAAGTCAAAGTGAAATTACCGTTTTCCATGCTGGACTAGGAAAGTTAAATTATTTTTCAAAGTGTAGCAGTGATGTGCATATTTTAAAGCCTCACACCTTCACCTAGTTTTGTAGGCTTTGTGGTTTGTTTTTTTAAAAAAGTAAAAAGATTCATCTGCAGTTTTCCTTTACTAAAACCACATTATCTTGGTTTTTACACCTTAGCCAGAAGACTGACTGGCAGCTCTCAGAGAAGTAGCAAGATGCAAAAAAATAAGAGTTGAAATAAAAATGGATTCAAAAAACAGCTTTTAATTATCTGAAGGTGCAGTTGCCAAGTAAACAGCAAAGAGGCTGTGCATCGCATACAGATGGGAAAATTCCCCCAGGTTTATTTCACAGTCAATTACAGTGGATTAACCTATTAGCAAGAGCAAAATATATATATTTTTTTTTTTTGGATACAAGTTTCAACAACTTGAAAAATCATTGCCACTCATACTTTGATACAGAGGAACAACAATCTGTTTTATCACACTTCCAGTCATCACAGTCCATAAACACACCCTACAAGCAACCTCTCCCTCTTTTTTTAATGCATCTTCTGTCATTACTTCCTTCTCAGGGAACAGTATCCCTCTTGGCTTCCTGCTTTGAGTATTATTTTATACATCCATTAAGAATTTTTTTGTTGTTGTTTAAGAGAAGCATCAAGCACCTCCAAACTCTTTCACACGCACCTTTGCACAAATTCACAGGTTCTAATATTATTCACTTCTGCCTCTGCGAGGTGTCACTGTACAAGGTATTTGTCAAACAGAAAAGCATCACGGCACCGAAGAGCAGCTTTCCAGGATCCCTGGGCTAAATCCTGGGTGTGCCTACTTTTGTTTGGTATCAAGTTCCTTCTGCTGGCTGCACTGCAAGAGCAAACTACATGGACAGTTAAGTTTTTCCCCACCTCCAAAAACATCTGTTCGTTTTCTAAGTTCTCCAGACTTCCTTCCCCTTTACTGTATCACAAAGTCTCTCTCTTTAGCAAGACTGCCTTCTTGATAGTCCATCACCATTATCTTCTTGTCTGCTGCAGAGCAGCGTGAATCACTGAATCTTGCACAGCTTCCAGTCCTTTCAGCTCAAGGCCAGGCACAGAATTCAAGCATCCTGATTTAGAGAGAGGATTGTTAAAACTCCCTCCCTGCCTCTTTTTTTAAACACTCTACAGCTTCCTGTCCTGGGAGACAACCAAACTGCTATAAGAAATGCCAGTTTCTGTTAAATATCCTCAATTCCTGTGACACTGAACATTTAAAACAATTACATTACTTCCAAATCTTGCGTTATAACAGCTTTTATTCCACAAAGTGAAGAGAAGAGCAAAAATTACTTCAGTACGAAGGAGTTTTAGTTGGTTATTCGTTGAATCCCACAGCATTTCAAGTTAACATTCAGGCTTGGCACGACCAACCATTTGCTCAAACACACAGCACAATGTCACCCCTCAAAACCCCACTGTTCAACCTAAAGGCACTTTTTTTTTTTTTTTATTTTGAGGGTGCGTCAGCTGCTAACTGAAAGTGGGAATGCTTCATTTAGCACACACACTTGTTAAACGGCTCACAGCATGCAAATAAAATACTGCATTGTGCAAAAGTCATTCAGTCTCCCCATCCGTCGATATGAGCAATGGAATCGCGTCCAGGAAAGAGAAACTTGGAACAACATGCAAATATTTCAGTCCCTTATTCCCAATATTCACATACTACACTAAAGCCCACATCCCTGTCATGCCGAGGGGTGATCATGTTGAGACTCTGCTGTACGCAATGGGTGGGAAAACAACCATTATCTGTCTTGCCCCAGTACTGCACCCTTTTATTTGTAGTTATTACTGCAACTGCTTTTTTTTTTTCTCCAGACAATGGTTGTGTTATTATAGGTACCTTCATGCCGTGCCAAAGCACATACACACAGCAATTCTGAACAATCAGCCTTGTTTTCATGGGAGCAAAGGTTGCAGCCAAATGAAATGGGTGGAGATCACATTAAACAATCTTGGAATCTGCTAATAGGATATAGGAAAATGTGACCATAATGCAGATGCAGAGTTCCCCTTTCACCTTCCACTGTTATAGATAAAATAAAAGCTTTGGAAAACCAATTAAACGGTTTGAACAACATTAAGCAAGTCAAAGCGTTCTCAGTGTGCTTACAAGACCACCGAGAAGTTCTCGAAAATTAAAACAAAAACGTGCCCTTTCAAAGCTCTGAAACCAGAGAGCAAGTTTTCCCGCCCCAGAACACCACCTGTTTAAAAGATATAGGATACCTGCAAGATGTCTGCTTATCCATAGTAAAGAGAAGCTCATCACGACGACTGGTCCTGTCTTAAAGACATGATCGGCCCCTCCTTTGTCTAAGAGGGGAATTTTCATACCGAAGCACCTTGCTTGGTCAGCTGTAACCTGCATTCCCCTTGTTTGCTTTTGAGATGTGCATTAGTCAGCTTTCTCCTTCACAAATGTGATCGTGCCTCTGCATGATCATACACTGAAGTCATGTCCTTGAGTCTGTGACATCAGTCTGTTGCCATGGTAATGTACAGGGCAGTCCAAAATTCAGTATTATGGCATCACTGCAGGATCAGACAGCAGAGCAAGCCAATGCCTGAGAGCTGGTTAATGCAGCACGAACAGCTAAGACATTCAAATCTAAACGTTAAAGTGTAACTGCACTTTATCATGATATCCTTCACAAATACATCTAGAAGGCTCTTGTCAAAAAAAAAAAAAAAAAATCCAGAAAGTTGTTCAGTTGAAGACAAACAGGCAAGCCATCATGCGTCACTCAAAAGAAGGGCAATACGTTTCCAAGGATGGCCACCGAGTATGAAGAAAGCTTAGTTCAGCTCTCTGAATAGAAACCACCATCTGTTCCTAAGGCAACACCAGACTTGCCTAAAGAGATCCTTCACAGAGAAACAGGGATGGCCCCTTGGCACCCCAGATCAAGTGCTAGGTTGCAGGCAGTTTTTCTGGAAATCAGAGACCGGAATGTCACAGCACTGTCACCCCTTTGGAAGAGATAGCATTACATAAGACATGGTTCTTCAATTTCAAGCTCTGAAGCAAAGATCAGTGCATCATTAACCCAACCTACAGCAAAGCCATGTAGTGAAAAAAGGGTTGTACCTTCAAAGAGTTGTTATTCCATGTAGGGTTAGACATTACAGTTCTGTAGGTTTCTTGTACACTCACGAGAATGGCATTTCTGAAGAGCAAAAGGGAAGGAAAAAGGAAATTAGTTACACGTTAACGGTATTACAACTACTAACCAGCTCTTAAAACCCAAAAGATCCGCTTTGCCCAGTGCAAAGGGCGCAAGGAAACAGCAATCAATGCAATGCTGACACGTGGAGCACCACTAATCCGAGCAGGTCTTCAGTGCCAACTGACCAAGTACACCCCAAAAAGAGTTCAGCGACTACAGTCGAAGTAGCCTTGTGGCTGCCCTGCCACAAGGAAAAGTCCCGCTGGGTGGTGGGGCAGATGCTGCTTTGTCATCGTGGGAGCCCAGGCCGCCCGGACAGCAGAGACGAGACCCCAAAGCTCTCCACAGCCACACTGGACCCCTTTACCCGTTCCTCTGCTCTCATCAAGCACACATGTTCAGGGGTCTGGCTGTGGATTCCCAGCCGCTGCTCTAACACCCAAATTCCTCAAGGCCCTTGAGTGCCATTACTTTTGCATGTTTAGCTCCCGTGTGAACCCAGCCACACCCCGTACGCTTGACTAGTTTCAGTTTACCTCCTTCCGCTTTCTCTTATTAATCCACTCATCTCCTGTAACTCACTCAACACTTCCCTCTGCAAAGCTGACCCCCATCCTTCCTATAACCTCAGACGCACCCACAATTTCTTAACAGTGCCATTAACAAGCTGCAGGCACAACAAGGAACATTTCATGTTCTCTACACAGATGTAACCCTCACCATCTCCTAACCCCTCCACCCAGGTCCCTGGTTATAATTACTCCGTGCCTCGTTATCTAATACCGAACACAAGCCTCAGGGCTAGGAACCACTGTTTATTTCTCTGCAACGCCACACACCCTAGTGGTGTTGTATAAATAAATTCCACGACCTGTTTGAGCCTGAGCTTGATTCAGACCTGAATTATACCAGCTGCTAAATGACTAGTGCAAATACCTTCACTTGCTCCCTGCTCGCTTTAGCAATACCCACTTACGCAACCAGCCACCACAGGCAGCTCCAGTGCCAAACATCACGACAGCTAATTGCTTCTACGGACCACAACTGGGGAGAAAACAAAACTTAAATCCCTCTACTTTTAAATACAAATTGCAAATTATAAAGAGACCAACAGACAGGTATGAGGCACACTGCTCTCAGCATGAGGACACCTGAATGACAAGTTCCACATGCCAGTGTCACTTCTCAGCCACCAAAGCATCAACACTTTGCCTCAACCCAGCCCTTAAACACCCAGCAGGTTACCCAGTTGCAAGTCTGAAGTACCGTGGGGGCTGAGATTCTGGAAGCAGCTTTAAGCCAAATGGATTTCAGAGCAAAATAAAGCCAGTAGGCTTCATCTCCATGGAGCTCCTGCAACATAACATAAGCTGAACAAGTTACTCAGGGCAGAGGTCTTTCTTATTAACTACCTAGTAAATTCAGATTAAAGTCGGACAGCTTTTTCCCCTCCCTCACATAAAGATCAGATGCTGTCCAGCTCTGAGGAATCAATCCAGCTTCTGCAAAAAGTAAAACTCGCTCACAGCTCCATGACACCACGCACAATCTACAGGACTGCAGCCCTTCAGGTACTCATTAAACCTTTTCCCTAGAAAAGTCTCCAGTACTGAGTAATTTGTCTTCAATTCATTTTCTACAGTCAAGATGGACCATAACTAAGCGCTGGATACTGAAGCACATGTGTAGCCCCAGTGTACCCACCCCAGCCCATGAACACACCAATATAGAAACCTGCAGACACTCGTTACCTACCCTCCCAGTCACACGTGCTGATTCAAGCAATGATACAGAGGGGTGATCAAACCCCCGAGCCAGACATAAGAATGAGAGGAGGAAGAACTGAGGCACATTTCAACCATTAATTGGTAAATAAAGGCCAGAGTAGAGCCAAGGCCAGGTGGCTGCCATGGAAGCTTCGTTAACAAATTCAAGAGGAGAAGCGGAGTATGGGGAAGGCAACTTCACCATCCCAGATGGCCACGAGAGCTTTGTCAACTCGCACAGACCCAAGGGCAATTCCAAAATACTAAGCACAGCACTGGAAAGGCAAGAGATCATTTTGAGAAGTAGGATTAGCCTTTTTACTGGAGAAAATGAACACAACCACATGCAACCGTTCAACAACTAACAAAGCAGAACCCAGCACTGTGGGTTTGAGACATCTGTGAGAGACATCATTTTATGAGACAGCAGTCCACCTCAGCACAAAAGACACAAAGCTCTTGCTCTAAGTAACAGTGCTTACCTTCACCATCAGCATAGAGGTGGAGGAGCTTTGCCCACTCACAGGGAGGAGCTGTGGTTTGCAGACCCTTCCTCTGAGTGACTACGTATTTTCACAGAAATAAAGGATTCTTCCCTCTATACAAATAAATACCGTCTCTAAAAAAGGTGATGCAGTTCATCTCATTAAAAGAACCCATATTGTTCTTATCAAAGCATGGATCTGCTCCAGTGCACAACGCACAGGCTAATTTGCAGAGCATGTTTGGGTCTTTCCCTCTGAAAGCCACTCTACAAATGCAAGACCCAACTAAGGGGCCTCGTACTCTTTAATTCTTTGAAATTCACCATCACTTCACCTTAAATTGTTCCAAGAGCTTAATGCTGCAATTGGATCCATACTGAGTCGCTCTATATGATCAACCCCATTGGCCCAGGTACAACCAACACAACCAAGCCCAAACTTGCAAAAACTATCAACCTCTTTTAAAGTGTATTATATTTTCTTCCCCCAAGATGTTTCACCTGTCAACAACTATCTGTCTTAGTGGGTTACCATCCTCCCAGCACCTTGACTTGAGTTACCGTGCTTACAGCAAAAAACAGAGAGAGCCAAAAGCACTCTGCCTGGAGACCAAGCAGAGTCTGCAAGAACAGACCCCCTTCGGGGCAGCGACAGTTGAGATCGATTTAATGTGAAAACGAACTACTTTTCCATTCAAGTCAAAAGCAGAGACAAAGAACTGTATGCTGCTCAGCCTGCAGAGTCAGCTGTCTTTTTAGGAATAGATCAGATTTAACAGCTCCATGGCAGCCCAGAAAAAAGTTAGCCTGACAAAAGTTTCAGCTTTTCCCAGTATTATGCTACCCAAAATCCAGGCACTTGTCTGCTGTGCTCTCACGGCCTTACACTAGTCCCTCAAAATCATCATCTTTCAAAAACATCAGTTCCAAGAAGGCATTTTATCAGGATTCAGCCTGATGCATGAATGCACTTTCATTCCATTTCAAAGACAGACAAAAACCCTCTCTGAAGCTCTGCCTAGTAATTCTGTTTTGCATCATATGGGCTGCATATAATGCCATTTTTGCACCGGGGAACCGAAACTCCGCAAATCTGCTACAGCCTCATCAACGTGACCACTCTCACCGCAGGGACACGTATTCTGAAGCAGCTTGGTAGCAGCGGTGTACTCAGGCTGTTTTACTTGACTATTCAGGGCCTAATGCAGACAGAGAAACTAATTAACATGTATCACTATGGAAAGGAAATACAATCTAAACGTTCATTGGTTTATAACTAAACCCTTTGAGACATCTAACGTCAAAGCTAAACAGATCTTCACCTGGCAAAGCGCTTGGAAAACCTTCAACTGAAGCTGCCAGGTAAGGGAATGCAGTATTCTAGGGTATTTTTGCTACATACGCTGGGGACATATCTCTAACACGCACAAAGCCCAGAGAAGCATCATGACAACTGCAAAAACAACTTTGTCCTGGCTAACATTCACATAACGAAATTACAGTTTCACTCCAGGGGAAAAGGAAAAAGCACTTAAGTTTTGTTTAGATTAAAGCGCTGCAAGCCACGCCACTTATCTGCTATCAGAGCAGATTGCAGGGCTGCTCCAATGATTATTCAGTAATGAAGTAAGTGGAATTGGAAGGTATGCAATTAGTCCCATCTCCTCCTCCTCTAAAAAGGAAAAAAAAACAGCACAGACGTTATCACCTCTCCCTCTAGCTCTGCTACCCTCATCACTTAAAATACCTACAAAGCAAAGTAGGGCTGTCACTTACAAGCTGCTAACAAGCCTGGCTTGGCCCTGACTGGCAGCAAAGGGGATATTCTCCACATCTCCGCAGAAGAAAGTTATTGGTTTACTTAATAGGATGTTTTCTCAGGTACCCACACATGCATATATTAAGCCTAGCATTTGTACATTTAGCTATTCCAGTAAAAGCACACCACTTTTCAGAAGAAAAAAGCACTGCTGCTCTTACTAGCTTTAAGTTAAAGCATCTCTCACTGATCGTCCTGGGCACGACTGTGAAGTGAATATATTAAATTCAGGACACCAGTATCACTTGCTGGCACTCTGTCTGTCTACCTTTACTGACTCCAGCTTGAAAACACTGGCTCATTTTACCTGAACAATTTGCACCCTACCTTCCCTTAAAGAGTTGCGCTTTATGTTTGTAAAGTGTTATATACAGCTTCTTCCATAACTGTGGCTAAAATATGGAAGACTCAGAAAGCCCCCAGATAACCCAAAGCCAAATGGCAACTCACAGTATATTCCTACTTCCAAAATGCAATTCTGGTAACATATACGTTGATGTTTATTCATGCTCAAAAGCTCACTCACCCTCCCCTCCACCCCAGCGATACCAGTTGGTCTAATTAAAGACATGTCTTCTTCCAACAGCCTCTGCCTCACGTATACCCCAGTAAAGTTTCTCTATCTGTGTTCACAGATGTCTACATTCACTCCCCCCCCCCCCCCAATCT